ACGCCGGCTGCAGGAGCCGCAGCGAGCCGCAGCCGGCAGCCGCCGGACGTCGGCCACAGCCACACACGTCTGGGTTTTCTTTCACAGAAAGAGTAAAATGCCATTCAAACGCTCCACGTTGCCTCCTACGACTGTGACGGCGTAATTAAGAGCGTGCGTCCATCGGCGGAGTAAAACACGCTTTAAAAAAATAATACTTGCAGAAGCAAAATCTTTTACCAAAATAATTTCCACTTTCCAAACTGCACTTGCTATAAGCCAGGTCAATAAACAGCAAAGAGCTGTCTCCTACGGCCTGGAGAACACACCGGGCCGTTGCTTCCTCAGACGCCCTCAACTTGCGTGGGGGAAGCCACGGAGCGGGACGTGTCCCTCGTGCAGGACACGGTGCCGGGCGCCCGCCTCCCGGGCCGGGCAGCGTGACAGCCGTGGGAGGCGGCTCATGGTGCCTACAGAGGACACAATTCCAGTCCCTGAAAGCTTCCCTCAAGCCGGCCGGCTGTCCGAGCCCCGAGCTCGCAGCACGCTCTGGCCGAGTCTGGGCTCCCGGTGCCGCCTCGCTGGACGGAGCCGCCGGCCGGGTGCTGCCTGACCTGCACGGCTGCCCGCGTCGTGTAAGCAAAGTGGCAGCGCCGGGCAAAGCACATTCCAGTAAATAAAACGTCGGCCATCGGCGCGCCAGGGACCCCGATGCCGGCCTCGAGTCACAGAAACAGGGGAGAGGCCAGTGGCATGGGTTATCTTTAATCAGAGGGATTAAAGAGCTTCTCGCCTAACAGTCAGTCGGTGGGCAAACGCTGCGGGGCATTCGCGAGGCCAGAGGGAGGGGACGGTCTCGGGGAACGTGCCCCGCCCTGCCCAAGTCGTCCCACCGTCCTCAGCGAGCTGCCGTCGCAGGGAGCCCGGGCGGCCACCGCGGCACAGGCCCTCGGCCCACCTGGCATGTTCAAGACCCTGGGGCCGGGGCAGATGGAGGCCACGACCGGGAGCTTGCCCCCAAGCGTTCCCCTCACGGGGCGCTTCCAAAGGCCGGCCAGCCGGGAGAGAGGCGGGGAAACGCTCCCCAGTTCTCTGTCCTCGGCCGGGAGCCCCGGCCCCCGGCCCCCAGCCCGGACCCGGCCTGTCGGGGCTGCTGGTCTCCGGCGTCGGGAGGTGGCGCAGCACGTTTCACGCTGAGGCTGAATGAACATCCTGGTTTTCGAAGGGCGGCAGCGGCTCCCGCCAAAAGGTGAAGTTGCTGAAGGTATCTGAGCAGGGGAAGTCGGAAGAGTGGCTCCTTTTCAGCAACGGGAAGACGTGGTCGACCACTTCACAGAGCCTCCCGTACCTGGAAGGACAAAGGGACGGCGCGGCCTGGAGGCGCGGCCAGAGGCACAGGACCCCGCAGCTACGCCGGCGTGCAGAGACCCAGGTGTGCAGGGACCCAGGTGTGCAGGGACCCAGGTGTGCAGGGACCCAGGTGTGCAGGGACCCAGGCGAGCAGGGACCCAGGCGAGCAGGGACCCAGGCGAGCAGGGACCCAGGTGTGCAGGGACCCAGGTGTGCAGGGACCCAGG